CGACGCGCAGGTAAAAAATACACCTGTCATTAACACCTATCGCCACACACCTATAGCAGCAGCTCGCAGCCGACGCGCAGGTAAAAAATACACCTGTCATTAACACCTATCGCCACACACCTGTAGCAGCAGCTCGCGGCCGACACGCAGGTAAAAAATACACCTGTCATTAACACCTATCGCCACACACCTGTAGCAGCAGCTCGCGGCCGACGCGCAGGTCTAGCATCCTCATCACGAGGTGAGCCTTCTTCTTGTAGGCGCTCTTGTAGCGCTCGAGCGTCGTGAACGGGTGCCGCGTCGAGAAATAGAGGTCGCCGCTGGTCTCCTTCTCCGCCGAGCTGTCGAGCGTGATGAGACCGAACGTCGACTCGAACGAGCACACCTCCTGCTGGTCCTGCAATCAAACAAAGGTCATGTCGATCCTTCAAGGTCATGTTAATCGATCAAGGTCACCTCCTGCTGGTCCTGCAATCAAACAAAGGTCATGTCGATGTCATGTTAATCGATCAAGGTCACCTCCTGCTGGTCCTGCAATCAAACAAAGGTCATGTCGAACCTTCAAGGTCATGTTAATCGATCAAGGTCACTTCCTGCTGGTCCTGCAATCAAACAAAGGTCATGTCAATCCTTCAAGGTCATGTTAATCGATCAAGGTCACCTCCTGCTGGTCCTGCAATTAGACAAGGGTTCTGTCGATCCTTCAAGGTCATGTTAATCAATAAAGGTCACCTCCTGCTAGTCCTGCGCGCACGCGAGAAAACAATCAACGTCACGTTAATAATCAATTAAGGTCACGTTAATCGGTCAAGGTCACCTCCTGCTGGTCCTGCAATCAATCAAAGGTGACGTCGATCAATCAAGGTCACATTAATCAATCAAGGTCACTTCTTGCTGGCTCCGTATGTGGAAACAATCAAGGTCACATTGATCAGTCAAGGTCGCCTCCTGCTGGTTCTGTAATCATACAAAGGTCATGTCGATCATTCAAAGTGAGGTCGATCATTCAAAGGTCACCTCCTGCTGGTCCTGCAATCAAAAAAAGGTCAGGTCGATAAATGAAGGTCACCTCTTGCTGGTTCGGTGTGTCAAAACAATAAAGAGGTTACGTTAATCCCCTTGCCCCCCCCCCTGCCCCGTTTGCCTCCCCTCCTTCCCCCTGCCCCATCCCCCTGCTCACCTCTCCCCTCCACCACCCGCCGCTCACCTTGTAGATCCAGTAGCGGTACTCGTTGTTGCCGAACGCCTTCTTCACGTAGCTCCACGTGAGGTACTCGGCGATGCCCGCCGGCAGCCACGCGTCCGACCAGCTCTGCATCGCGATGAAGCAGCCGAAGAACTGGCAGGCGACGGCCGACGCCATGAGCCGGCGAGTGACGGGCGTCTGGTCGACGATCTGCTTCGAGTGCAGCAGGTTGGTGCTGCGCGAGAAACAGAAGAGCATTCGATTAGGGGGGGGGGGAAAGACCGTGAGTTATCGACGAGGACAATGTGTGTGTGTGTGTGTGTGTGTGTGGTGTGTGTGTGTGTGTGTGTGTGTGTGTGTGTGTGTGTGTGTGTGTGTGTGTGTGTGTGTGTGTTTATGTGTGTGTGTGTGTCTCTCTCTCCCCCCCTCTATCTATCTCTCTCTCTCTCTCTCTCCCTCCCTCTCTCTCTCTCTCTCTCTCTGGCTATCTATCTATCTGTCTGTCAAGCCCTGACAGTCGCCGCTAATACACGCAAACTTGTCGTCGCCGTGTCAACTTTGTCACCGCGTGGTGACAGCAGCGGCCTCGTTCATCTTGTCGCCATGACAATGACAGGACAACGGCTGTGCTGGCCTACTAGTCGCCTTTCACCTACACGCCCTTGAAGCGTGTGTCCCCGGTGTGGGAGGTAGGTAAGGGCGGCGTAAGGGGTGGGAGAGGGGAGAGAAGAGTGGGAGGAGAGGGAGGGTGGACGGGGAGGGGAAGAGGAAGGGGCGGGGAAGAAAAGTGAGGGAGGAAGAGAAGGAGAGAGGAGAGAAGAGTGGGAGGAGAGGGATGGTGGGCGGGGTGGGGAGGAGAGGGAAGGTGAGGGATGGGAAGGGAGGGAGAGAGGAGAAGAAGAGTGGGAGGCGAGGGAGGGTGCGCGGGGTGGGGAGGAGAGGAAAGGTGAGGGATGGGAAGGGAGAGAGCGAGGAGAAGAAGAGTGGGAGGCGAGGGAGGGTGCGCGGGGTGGGGAGGAGAGAGAAGGTGAGGGATGGGAAGGGAGCGAGGGGAGAGAGCGCGTGTGTGTGAGAGAGAACGGGATTGTGTGTGTGTGAGAGAGAGAGAGAGAGAGAGAGAGAGAGAGAGAGAGAGAGAACGAGAGTCGCGTGTGAGAGAGAGATATATAGAGAACACACACACA